AACACATACGGGTTGTTAATAATAATAATAATGATAATACAATTATCGAACTTCATAAGCCAATTTGTCATAATCTATGACCTATGTTGTCATTCAGACATTTTTATTCCAATACAAGTCTAAGTCAACTAGAAAATTATTTATACGTTCTATTATTTGAAAGATTGCAGTAATTTACCTTTACCTAGGTGGCTAGGTATATGATGACAGGACGACAGGACGTACACTTCTTAAAATTGCACGAAAATTGGCAGCCAAATGTCAATACATTGATATTTTTGTCGTAATATTATCTCTATTTTCCCATAATGGTTGAAGGGTGGACTATCATCGTTTTCTCGTTATTCTTAAATTAAGATAAAAATAAATGCCCACTATTCAACGGTTTTCCCAATGAGAAGTATCAAGTATGAGGAAGGGTCACTTTTCCAAAAAATCGCCCTCTAGTGGGAGATGTCTGATAGAGGAGGTTTGATTGTATATATTTTTATATGTACCTATTGTTGACAAATAATTTTACTAAGGAAAAAACAGCTAGGCAAAAGTAGATATTATATTTTGTTAATTATTAATTAGGAAATATTAAATATTAGGTACCTACTGGCTACTTTGACATAACTCATAAATAATAATATAATATAATATAACTTTTTGAATGTAATTGTAGGTACCTATTTTATGGTACTTTATTGAAGTTTAATTTATTTCAAATTATTAATTATTATTAATGACTTTATAAATAATAATAAATAGAGTTTATCTTAACACAATTAAAAATATTTCTTATTATTAAATCTCAATTTAAAGATATTATTGTTTTATATCATTAGTCAAATATTATATGTATAAATTAGTAATATTGCCTACTGCCTAACATTAAATATTACCTATATAAAACCATAGATTTTAAATATATAGTTTAGTTGAGCCTGTATTCCTWATCCAATTAAATCTATTATTAGTCTARACTTTAAGGGTTATAACTTATAATTTAGTGTGTTTATTTAAAAATATGTGATAAAATCARTATAGTTTGTATTTGGTTTATTAGTAAAAATTTAAAATATTATTTAAAAAAAAAATATTATTAATAAAATATTAATAAAAATTTCATGATGATAAATCTATAGTCTTGATCTATAATAATACATTTGGTTGCTCAGTCACAAGAGTTGACAACACTACTGCAGGTGAACTTACTGTTGGTCCTCCAAATGACGTTATGAAAATATTGACGACCGTTATAAGGAATATACCGACAATGACGTAATTTCCCAATTTAAATGCCATTCGTCGTTGGTCACAATTGGTCACATTGTACCGAGCACTTAGTAAAAGCGCTACGCCAACTAAAATCTAACATAGCCAAGCTTAATTATAAGAAAATCTAAAATTAACAACTAGTAATTACCTGTAAAAATATGCTTATCAACAATAGCACAACACAGATGACGTAAAGGGCGCTACCATCGCTATTTTCTAATACATATCTTAGTTGATTTGCATTTGCAGAAAATAGTGCCACGTCCATCATACCATGAGACAATAATTTTTTATTTCTGTATAAGTTAAAAGCTTTTGGTGTATCTTCATCCATATTTCCGATCACCTGAAATTAGATATTTTCATTACGATAATTTATCTCATGATTTAGTACATAAATTACTATACGTTTATAAATATGTGGATATATATATTTTTTATATACCTACAATATTGAATATATAAGATTTTACACTACTAGTTGTTAGGTATATAACTTTATTTTTATTTTCTTAATAAATTTTAAATTTGTTCTTAGCTAGATCAGTATGCAAATGTGTTACAGAGTAATTACATATGTATCTTTTGATACTTCCTATTTTAAGTTTTTATTTTATTTTATTTTTTGGYTTATTAAGTTAAACTATTTTTAAATTTGAGATATAGAAGGTCACGATACCGWCTTCGTTTAAGCCGTCTTGGGGATTCCCTGGAATGGATAAGGTAGATAATTTTCTTTATAAGAGAACTATAATGGAGAGGTGTGGTATTTTTTATAGTAGCATTTTATGTAATATAACTTAACTTTTTATATTATCGCTTTAAATAACACATAGTTACTATGAGAATTTAAACATAAGCACGACTTATGGATATGGGCCGTGGTCCATAGTTCCAAATCCATCCCAAATGAGTTTTATATCGAATTAGTTTTAGGTGCTGAATTTACGATTATCTATTCAGAAATTGATTAAAAAATTATATAAACCGTTTATTATGTATAATTAGGTACTTAACAGCAGGTAGGTATATAATAATTATGCTACTATTAGATGGTGCATCTACAATAAACATATCTTATAATCTAAAATTGAACTTATCTATTTATTTATGTATATGCAATCAATGATTCTATAAATTAACTTTAAGTGTTCCGTCGACACACGAGTTCTAGCCACTTCTTTATATGCATTAAGAGGACGCCACACCCGCGTATGTTGTCTCCGTCGTACAAGTGCGTAGCATAGCAAATTTTACGCTCAGCAGATCACGTTTATCTMCGTTAATTTAAAATTTAGAGTGAATTGACCTATTATAAAAATTAAAAGCAAGATAATTACCGAGGGCATCTTATGGGCATCTTAT